GAGAGAGAGAGAGAGAGAGAGAGCTTCTAAATCATCGGGGGAGAGAGATGGGGAGACATGTGTTGGGTTTATATGGCCTTATGAGAGCTTGTATTAACATTTTATATAGTGGAACATAAACTCAATGAGAGTGTGGTTTTTTTGTAGACCATACTAGGCAAATACGATTTGCCGATACTTGGATTAGACTCGACGAGCTAGGCCAACCGAGGTTTGGAAAAACCCAAAGTACCTGGGCATATGAATCTACCGAGAAGGATTTAGTGAGTTAGCCCTTGATGAGGGCGGAGTACGCCTAGATGAGAGCCCATGGATTGTGCAGCCCTTATGTGTGATGAATAGCCTTTAAAGACAGGGTTAAAACCTCATCATTATATTATCACACAACATGTACATAGATAGCCATTTTGAGATTCGCCAATGAGGGTGAATCGTGTATATATGCGAGAGATTACCCCTATACACTATAGAGTCATGGTTACATCATGGTCTGAAGGATCATGATTTTTTGTCTCTAAGGTAGAACTTGAAATCCATAAACTGAGATTACGTTCCCTAGTCTATTGGCTGACTTGAAATCCAATCATGAGCCCCTGCAGTGGATTGTAGGTCATGGGAACTGCTGGATCAGTTTGAGAAAACTCGTCGGATCGTGATTCACAGTTGAAGGTGGAGTGCTCCCATATATTGATAATTTTCTAAATCTAACGAATACGATTCCTATCAAAATTAATTATTTTTAATTGATTTTCTGCTATGTGATTTTTAAAATATTAATTTGAATTTTTGTGAATCTTCTGATATTTTATTTTTATCATTTGGATTTATAAATTAAGAGAAATTAATTTTTTAATGTTTTAAATAAAATATAAGATTTAAAATTTCTAAATATGAAATAAAATATTTTCTAAAAATATTTGGGACCTCCATAAGGTATGGGGCCCAAAATTTAAAAGGACTTGGATTAGGTGGGGCCCACACGTGGCCACCAAACGGGTGGTACGCCCCACCCATTCACGTAACATTATTGGGAAGAATGTTTATCCTTTTGGTTAGCTTATTTTTTTTAGGTATAGCCAACTTATGCGATAAGGTTGAATATTTGAGATATTTACTAATTCTTTGAATCAAGATTGATTGATCAAATAATTAAGGATTGGATATATTAAAATATAAACTTTTCTCATTTGATGGGAATAGATTTAGGAAAGATAGAATAATGTTCTAGCTCATCTCTTTGAATTTTGATGGTGGATCAAAGAGATGGATGGCTCAAATCTCTCACCTCACAAGTTTCTTTAGATCGACAGTTGAGATTTGACTCTACGAATTAAGGTAAAATCTATGGCATAAAAAATCTATAAAATTAGGTCTCACCTTCATAAAATTACGTATGTGTATTCTCTCTCTTCTTACTAAAAATTTAGCTCTCTCTGGATTACCTAAGTGAAGCAGGCACGTCCCAATTTTATCTCTCTCTCTCCAAGTTATTTTGGGTGTTCTTTTCTCTTTAGGGAAATCTCTTTGGGTGTCACGCCTAAGCCTAGGTGGTGTTTTATTTGTGGGTGGCAAAGGGGTAGAACCCCTTACTAGTAGATCTCTGCCTCTCTCTTCATATTCATCTCTTATCTCTCTAAAATCAAGCCAAAATGCTTGATCAAAATTAAGCCATTGAGTCGATTTTTGCCATAGTATAGAAATCAACGTACCAATGATAGATCCCGAGCACCATCGGAAGGAGAAGATTCGACGTGGGGTGTACTAAGCCCGGTTGAGGTAATCTCCGACAATTTTACCTTTTTAAATATTTACTTCTTTTCCCATAAACTAATAAAGTCTAGTTTTGTTTCTTGAATAGAGAACTGTATTTGAAGAGGTAGCAATTGAGAACCGATTTTTTTTTATTTTTTTTATTTCAAGAGTGGTTCGATTATAATTGGACATTGTAAGTGATCATGTCGGTGTAGGGGTAAAGAAGTTTTTTTAAATATATGCGTTGTGCTTTATCATAAAGTCCTTTTATTGGTATTAGAGCGAGGTTGATATTTGAAGCCATTAGATGTATTTTCCCTTTATTGAGTCAAGATCAAGCTTGTGAATGAGATGTAAGAAAGCTACTAATCTTTGTGGTCCAGCAATACACCTCGTTAAGAATTATTGAAATATTCAACACCCCAAGAAAAACACTCTGCAGATTGGGTCTTCTGTGCTATTTTGGAGCAGTTATATGAAGACAATAATGATGTATTTCTCTTTTGCATACTCTGTGATTTTGTGTATCGTCGAGAGTAGGATCTATCTACAAACTTTCAGTAGGAGATCCTAAGGGAATTGAGAGTTTTGGACTCATGAATGAAGGGTGCTAGTTTGACCCTGCAAAATCTAAGATCTATCCATTGAGTTCCATGATATTTCCCTCCAATGATATGATTTTATTTCTTGTTGAAATTTTGTTGTGATTCATAAAATTGAGTCTATTTTCAAA